GCTTCACCAACCCATGAATATCACTCTTCTTTTGGAGGCCACCCAGAACAACATCTCTCTTTTGAGCGGGAAGTTTTCCATTAAAATGATTGGGAAGTAACCCATGTTCTTAGTGCCATTTCAGAAGATCTTAAAAAAAAACCCCAAACTAATATTTATATCACAATTTGGATTAGTTCACTCAAACATTTCAATGATTTTGCAGCATTTGCTTGGACATCACCTTTTGAAAATTTGGATTAATAATTTTAATAGAAAAATATTAAAACCTGAACATCCTTCTATTTTTCAAAATATAGAAGGAATTTGAATTTTAAAAATTCTTTTTCCAAAATTCTCCCATGTGAGCAATTTGTTTAATTATCCTCTTTCCATGAAAGGTTTTGCTTATGCATAATAAACGTTATGCAAAATCATTAAGTGCTTAAATGACAAACGTCCAGCTATCTCTAATTCTCTCCCTTCCTATTTGCCTGCCCTGTTCTCGCTGAGTTCAGAGAGCCATGCTCATCGCCGTTGGATTGGATGAATTTGCAGGCGCTCCAGGAATATTTTCTGGATATTTTTTCCGAATGCTAATGTGGAATGAAAGCCTCCCTCTCTAGGGAGCTGAGCCGCGCGCGGAGGAGGGCCGGGGCAGCGGCACCGCAGGCTGGCTGCGCGCGCCGTGGCTTACGCCAGGGTCAGACCCTCCGAGTCTGTTCAGAGCGTTCAGACGTGGATGGCCTGTGCGCTGCCTGATAACGAGAAATTACTGAGCACAGCCCCAAATCTTCTTCTGTGTCTGCAGTGATGTACAACACTGCAACAGAATCTCAGGCTCTTCCCAGCTGAATTGCATACATATACATTATACATGAATATAAAGCATTAATTACACTCACACACCACAGGGTTGCCGAATGTGCTTACAGATAATGATCCCATGGAAAGAAAGAAATCATATACATCCCCGAAAATGTCTGTTGATCTGGTTTCAGACACCATACATGCGTAACATTTTTGCCATAACGTTTTGAGACTTCACACATTTAATTTAAATGATCAGTTTTTAAAATGTGGCCTGCTTGAAAGAAGAACATTTTGCCTTGTGAAAACTGCGTTAGATACTTTTATCTTTGATAGCTTTGTCTGTAAACCTGGAAAAAAATGACACTGTGAATTAACAGATCACTCAAAGTACTTTGTTTCCAATAACTGCAAAAATGGCCCACCCAGGGAAAAAGCAAGTGATGGCAGTTTACACCCAGATACCCAGCAATGGTACCAGGAAATTACTTCCCTTGGGTGCTTTTGGGTGGAGGGGCCGATTACTGGTTACAACTGTGAAATAAATTACGCAGGAGAGGACACAGCGGGTTGGGGCACGATGTCGCTGCGTTGCACAGTGTGGAGGCTGCGTCCGGACCCAGGCCAGGCGAGGTGCACCGTCACCCCAGTGCCCGTGCACCATCACCCCAGCGCCCTCACGCACCGGGGAGGCTCCGCGGTTCCGGCTCCAGCAGCAGGCGCGAGCCCAGGCGCTCCCCGAGGGGTGGCACTGCCCGGGGTGGCTGCAGGAAGGAAGAACCGAGCTACAAACCCAGAGAGATCCCGCATCGTCCCCGGGGGAAGAGCCAGCTTTTGCCAAAAGACAAGACAGGCCAGCTCATAAATACCTGCGTGGAAACTGTGTTTCAAGGTTATGCAAAATTTAGATTCTTTCAGTAAAACGGAGCAAATCAAATGTACTTCGGGTGCCATTTCATCAAAAGTGCTTTCAACAATTTCCATTAAGGCAAAGGTCTACTAACTTCGAATCAAACAAAGAGATGCCCCCTGAGGTCCTTCTGCTAAATACCTGATCAGGTAGAAATCTAAATGGACGTACAGATGAAAAGGTAGCGCATCATCAAATGATTACTTGTTTAAAATAAGCAGAATATTGGGTAGTTGATCCCAATTTACATGAAAAGAAAGACATGTTACAACATAGGCAACACTTTAAATTAGGAGGAACAAAGAAACTGGAGAAAATACAAGAGATTTCACAGTATTTCACTAACGGTTTGTTTTCCAGGAAAAAACCCTAAACATAATCTTCATAAACAACAAAGGAAACATCAGTATTCACATTTCCCCCCATATGATTGAATTCACATTCATGAAATACGCGTAACAGTTTGACGTTTGCAGCCCATTATTAAATAGCAATGTTGTAGAAATAGTACAAACTGAAGGAAGCATTTCACTGAAAAATATTATTTAGCACGTTTCTTCCTAGCATTCGTAACGTTAAGGAAACGTAAAGACAAGAAACAACTTGCAACTCACTGGAAGAGGCGCCGGCAGCCAGGCGCGCACCCCGCCGGGCTGTCGCACGCCCCGGCCTCATTCTGCGGTGGGCGCGGGACCGGCCGGGGGGGGGGCGGCGGGACTCCTCCTCCCCGCCCGCCTGCCTGAGGGCTTCAGGCACCAGCAGCGCTCGCGAAAGGGCGTCAGCGCGCGGAGGAGCGCGGCATCCAACCACCTGCGAGGGTGCCCAGCGCCGCGCCGCCGATATTCCCACTTCAGTTCTTGCAGGCTGCCTTGACTTGGGATGAATATTTATGTGGGAGCACTAATTAATAACCAGCCCGTGAGCGCAGCTGATGCCAATTATGCAAATACAATCCCATGCAAATTTGAATTTGTTATTCCCGCCTTGTGCTACCCAGTGCAATGCCTATCACGGCCTGACATGCAGCTGGTTTTAAGCTGTGTGATTCATTTTAAATGTATTGTTTCCATCAGGATTGTAAAATAAACATGTAGGTTCCCTGGTCGGGAAATTTCTCCTTGCGACGTTCCTGGGGCCTTTGCCGCTCTGCAAACGCACAGATGCCATCAGGAGGACGGCCGCACGCCCCAGCAATCTGCCGTGGACGCTATGGCGCCTGGCAGATAAAAGCCAGTCATTCGCAGGCAGCGGCTTTAAATGCAAACGAGAAGCCCCTTCCCAGCTGGAGCTGTTCCGTGACAAACGCATTTCCCCACGGGCACAGTGGGGAAAGCCAGTGGTTAGGACACGCGAGGAGACCTGCCCCAGGCCTCGGCCCCCAGGAGCGGAGGGGCCGGGGCTGCCAGGCCCCCGTGGCCCAGGCTGCCAGCAGAAGGCCCAGGCGAAAGGAGCCAGGGTCACCCCTCCGGCCCGATCACCCCCCGAGAGACGGGGTTCACCGCACAGGCTGGCAGCAGGGGACGTCTGCCCCGCGTGCCACGGTGCTCACATTCACCTTTCCTCTCCATTTTCCTGTCGCCTTCCTTAAGGCTCTCAAAGAAATAAATAAATGCAATTGCCCCTTGCTGGCGAGTGACATACCTCACCAGGACAACAGCCAGCTAGACTAAGTTAACTGGCTCTTGCCAAATACTCTACAAGAATAACTCAAGATGGTGTTCTGATACCACACATTTGTGTCAACGACTGTGATTTGTGTTTTACAGATAGCTTGGGGGCTGGCGGTAGCACAGCTGCAGAGTGATACCGCTGCCTGGTTCACGTTCCTAACTCAAGGTGTTTAAACTCCACTAACATGCTTACATATCTAAGTCAGGCTGTCACACAGCGCTGCAGCACCAAATCCGCATTCACAGAATCACAGAATCACAGAATCGTTAAGGTTGGAAAGGACCTCTGAGATCACCGAGTCCCACTGTTAACCTAACTGCCCGGTCCACCTCTAGACCACGACCCTAAGCGCCACATCCACGCGTTTTTTGAATGCTTCCAGGGGCTGTGATTGCACCACTGCCCTGGGCAGCCTGTGCCAGGGCCTGATCACTCTCTCCGTGAAGAAATTTTTCCTAATATCTAATCTAAATCTCCCCTGGCATTGATTCCCAGCACTGCAAATGATGGGAACGCAGCTGATACAATACAGGAGCAAGCTCAGTTTTCTTTTTTTTTGACCGAGGAAAATTCTCCCTATTTCTGTACAGATGAAAAACGAAATGCAAACCTCTCACGCTATTGTAACATCTTCTTACGATATACATGACAACATATATTGCAATAATAAGCTGCACACTGCAAAGTACATGGTGTATTTTTAGAAGAGCAAAAGCTGCTTGCAGCCACTTGTGTCATCCCACCCCACGCCGCGGCTCCCAGGAACACCCCAGCCCGTTACGGATCCTCTTGGCAGAGCGGGGCCCAGACTGACGCACCTCCCTTATCGCTGAGGCAGGAGAGGAAAGCTGAGAGCGTTTCTCGCTGACGTTGTTGCTAGAGGCATTGCAATGAGCGGCAGCTCCTCAAAAGGATCATTGCTCATTGCAGTTAAGCTATGACGCAAGAGCAAACCCCCTCCAAGAAGAGGGGTCCCACATCCTGCATCTCCCAAATCCTACGCCAGCGCTAGGTCATACGATAGGAGAAGACTGGCTCATCATACCGATTCACAGGAAAACTCTCTTTTTCACTTTCATGGCTAATTTTCTGCCAAGGCAGCTCACTGGACAGGCTCACTCTGTGCGTCCGTGGCCCACTGCAGGAGAGGTGGGGTGGGCACGACGCTGCGGGGAGCGTGGCTGGGGGCTTTGGGAGCCTCGTGCGCTCAGCTTGGCTCAGCTGTAAGGTGAAAATACACTCTCCAGTCTCGGAATCTCCTGAATCTCGCAGGTTGCATGGGTTTTTAAGAGTCATCATTAGACGACGTTAGAAAAAACCTGTGGCTATCCCATCGCTGCTTCTGAAGCGATGCAGCA